TATCCATTGATGTAAGTAGAGTGGTAAACTTCCCTACTATTAATGGTGTTGCTGTCAAATTTCTCCCTTTAGGTCTTTTAATAATTGCTTTATCTGTTTTGGTGCTCCTGTGTTAGGTGCATATATATTAATAACTGTTATGTCTTCTTGATGAATTGTTCCCCTTATCATTATATACTACCCATCTTTGTCTTTCGTTACTTTTTTTTCAGCTTGAAGTCTTTTGTCTGATGAGCATGGTTACACCCACTTTCATTTGGCTGCTCTTTGGTTGGAGTATCATCTTCTACTCCTTCACTTTGAGCCTATGTTTGTCTTTAGAGCTGTAATGAGTCTCCTGTAGGCAGCATATGGTTGGATTTGTTTTTTAATCCATCCAGCCACTCTGTGTCTTTTGGTTTATTCATTCCATTTGAATTTAGGGTGATTATTGATAAATGAGGACCTTTTACTGCCACTTTACTTCTGTTTTCTGGTTACCCTATATCTCCATTTTTTCTTTCCTTGTGTTTCTGCCTACCATTTTAGTTTGGTGGTTTTCTGTGATGTTTTTCTCACTTTCCTCATTACATTTTGTGTCTCTGCTGTAGATTTGTTTTGTGGTTACTGTGAGGTTTGTGTAAAATGTCTCATAGATAAGATGCTATCAGCAGAAAAAGGACTATTTTATCTTCCTTTACCTCTATGGATTCTGTTCTCTTCTCTTCCCCTTTTGAGTCTTCGTCACAAATTACTCCTTTTTATGTTGTTGTTTCACTACTAAATTGAAGTAGCTATAGTTATTTTTACTGCTTTCATTCATTTAACCTTTAGGCTATAATTGTTTAACAACTTATTCTGATGTAGAGTTGCAATTTTCTAATTCTGTCTGTCCATCTATCACCTTTCCCAGAGTTTTGTGTACTTTCGTCTTTTCATTTCAGGTAAAAGAGATCATTTCAGCATTTCTTGTAAGGCAGGCCTACAGTTGATGAACTTGCTCAGCTTTTGTTTGTCTGAGAAAGCCTTTATTTCTCCTTCATGTGTGAATGAGAACTTTGCTGCATAGAGTATTCTTGCCTGACAGTTTTTGGGTTTTTTTTTTTTACGCGGGCCTCTCACTGTTGTGGCCTCTCCCGTTGCGGAGCACAGGCTCAGCGGCCATGGCTCATGGGCTCAGCCGCTCTGTGGCATGTGGGATCTTCCCGGACCGGGGCATGAACCTGTGTCCCCCGCATCGGCAGGCGGACTCTAAACCACTGCGCCACCAAGGAAGCCCTGCCTGACAGTTTTTACCTTTTAATATTTTGAGGATGTAATTCCACTATCTCCTGGCCTTAGTTTCTGCTGAAAAATCTGCTGAGAGCCTAGTGGGGGTAACTTTATGGGTTACCACCCATTTTTCCCTGGCTGCCTTTAACATTCTTTGTCATTTTTTGCTAGTTTTAATATAACGTGTCTTGGAGAACATCTTCTTTTTGCATTGAGGTAATTAACTGTTCTTCAGATTCATGGACCTGTACATCCAGTTCCTTCCTCAACTTTGGGAATTTCTCAGCTATTATTTCTTTAAATAACATTCTGCTCCCTTCTCTGTTTCTTTTCCTCTGAGATACCCATTACCCTAATGTTGCCCTTCCTAAAAGAATCAAATAGCTCTCACAGAATTTCCTCATTTTTAACCTATCATTTCTAGATTTCTATCTCCAAGCTCACTGATTCTCTCTTCCCTATGGTCTGCTTTATTTCCAGTGCATTCTATTGCATTCTTCAGCTCCAGAATTTGTTTGGTTGTATTTTAGATTTCCAGTCTCCTTGGTAAGATATTTTTTCTGTTCATTATTTTTAGTTCTGAGCTCATTGAACTGCCTTTCTGAGTTTTCTTGTAGTTCACTGAGTTTCTTCAGGGTGGCTATTTTGAATTCTCTATCATCAGATCACAGTATTCTGTGACTTTAAGTTTGGTTTCTGGAGAATTGTCATTTTCTTTTTGTGATACTGTGTTACCATGGAGTTACTGCTTTGCCAGAACGTTTGAAGTAGCAGACATCGTTCCTCTTTAGGTGAAGCTTTTTTCCACTTGAGTCTGATTCAACAGGTTAGTAGTAATTAGGGGCCATTCTTTTACTTTCCATTAGGTGGCGCTATGGCACAAGTTTTTGTTTCCACTTACCTGCCCTGCCTGTGGTTACATTTGAGAATCTACACTTACCACTCACTCTATACCACCTCTGTCAGAGATGTTGCCATGTTCCCTTGTTTTCACTGCTCGCGTTTCCCGGGGTTGCTGGTGCCTTGCTGCTGCCAGTGATATTCCTGCTGTTGCTGGCATTGCTGCCTGGGGCACCTCTGCCACATCTGGGGTCTCCTGGTTATCAGACTCGACTGCAGCTGGTGGAGAAGGTGGGGGGGAGGGGAGCTGGGTAGCCAGGCTCCTGGGTGCCTCTGCTGTATCTGGGGTTGTCTAAGTTGCAGTCACTGCCATTGAGGGCCGGGAGCTGGAGATGCGGGCACCTCTGTAGCTAGAGGGGTGGGGTCACCTGGGGCCATGGGCACCCCTGCTGCCAGGAGGCCAGAGTCGTGTGTGTTGACTCCCAGCTGCTCCTGGGTTCTCTGGGGCTCAGCAGCTCTGGGATCACAGGCACTGCCTCGGCTGCGGCCCCCCCCCATTCTGACTCCTCTATGGAGCCCAGCCCCCCCACCTTTACATGATGTGTGGAACTCTCTGGTGTCCTGGTTTGTCGGGCAGAAGCACCTTTGTTGACTGGTGGGTGTTCTACTGGTTGTGGATTGATTGAAGTGGAGAGACAAAGGGAGCGTCTCATGCCATCAACGTGCTGACATCACTTCTCAATAATTTCTATTTCTTTCTGCTTCATTTTTAGAGGATAATCTCACAAGCTATAGAAATCTGGGTGGGTGGGTTTTTTCTCAATACTTTAAAATTCTTATCTTTGATTTTCTATAGGTAAGGTGTTTGTGTTTTTATTTTTTCTTTCTGGCATCTTTCAGAATTTTTTCTGTATCTTTATTTTCTTTTGATATTTATCTAGGCATATAATTTGAAAAGTATACGCCTAGATAAATGTTTTTGGCATTTACACTGCTTGGTATTCTCTGAGCCTCCTGGATCTGAGGTTTGGTGTCTGACATTCATTGGGGGAAACGTCTCCATCATTATTGTTTCAAATATTTCTTCTGTTCCTCCGTTTCTTCTCCTTCTGTTATTTCCATTGTGCACATATTATATATACCTTTTCTGGCTGTCCCATGGTCGGTATTCTGTTTTTTTTAAGTTTTTGTTCTCTTAGCTTTTCAGTTTTTTAGTTTTCTATTGATATATCCTTCAGCTCAGAGATTCTTTCCTCAACCATGTCTAGTCTACTCATAAGCCCATCAAAAGCATTCTTTATTTCTCTTACAGTATTTTCATTCATTCTTAACATTTCGTTCTCTTTGCTTACATGGCTCGTCTGCTTTTGCACGCAGTCTACTTTATCCATTGGAACGCTCTGCATATTAATCATAGTTGTTCCAGAAACTTTCTAGAAATTGTATTTCGATGTTTTATGGCAAATATTAAGCACCAGGGAGCATTTTAGCTGCTCAGGGTAAATGATAAAGATATGTTGTGGGGGCTTGCCTGGTGGCGCAGTGGTTGGGAGTCCGCCTGCTGATGCAGGGGCACGGGTTCGTGCCCCGGTCCGGGAGGATCCCACGTGCCGCGGAGCGGCTGGGCCCTTGAGCCATGGCCGCTGGGTCTGCGCATCCGGAGTCTGTGCTCTGCAGCGGGAGAGGCCCGTGTACTGCAAAAAAATAAAAAAAGATATGTTGTGGGCAGTGGAGATTAGTAGAGGAGCCTGGAATACTTCAATTTTTTGTCTGTGTCCCTTCACTTCAGTTTATAGGGAACAAAGACAGAGGTCCTAGCAGCAAGGGAAAATATGGCTTCTTTATAGAATCACTTTGTTACATTTATGCAGAACTAGGCAATGTATGAGGAAATGATTTACATGATAAGAGAAGAAACAAGGAAGCTAAGGATGAAGGGGTGTAAATGTCCAGGAAGAGTCTCTGCTTAGCCCTCAGTTAATTTGTTAAACTTCTTAGATTGTTCAGAAACTACTGGGTAAGATATGCTTGGGTATAAATATGAAATGGGGGCTTCCCTGGTGGCGCAGCGGTTGAGAGTCCGCCTGCCGATGCAGGGGACGCAGGTTGGTGCCCCGGTCCGGGAAGATCCCACATGCCGCGGAGCGGCTGGGCCCGTGAGCCGTGGCCGCTGAGCCTGTGCTCCGCAACGGAAGAGGCCACAGCGGTGAGAGGCCCGCGCGCCGGAAAAAGAAAAATGAAATGGGAAAGTTACACCTACACCACTTAACATCTTATTTTCTTAAAAAGCACTTCCAGTTATGTTGTCTGGAGGAGGAGGATAGGACAGGGCATTAGAAATGTTCACAAATGCCCGTCACGCTCACATGTCATGTCTACACGAGACTTAGATGGCCTCTAGTTTCAGCCTAGACCACTGTTATGGTGACATGGTAGACAAGCCTGCATTGCATTTTTTGTTTGTTAGACTGATTTCATATTCAAAACAATTTATGTATTCTCCCCATCTTTCCTCTGTCCTGCATAATCTTTCCTTTAATAGTAGCCTTCTGCTTTCTTGTTAAGGACCTGCTGAGATGTGCTTATGCATAACAAAAAGATGCCCCAATTTTTTCTCTCAAAACCATGTGCACAACGTTTAGCAAAATAGACCAAACTTTCCTGAAGTAAATTCAAGATGCTCGTGGATCAACAGAATACTCCATAGAGTAGAAAAGACTTGTTTCAAGCTGTCTAAAGCAATATGTTCAAGTGTAAAATTTTTGTGAGACTGGCAAGCTGTGTAAGTCAGTTATTTCTACAAATAATTAAGATCATCAAATTTGTATAATACTGTGTATACATTTCTAATTTAATGCAAGGCTGGTACCTGTCTTGATGAGTGGTCAAAGTCCAGTTGCATACCTGAGAAGCTGAGTCTGGAGGGAGTCAATACATTTTCAAATAAAGAGTAGATAGAATAATGCAGGTGTCATAGCAAACGAAATAAAACCTGAGAATAAATACAAAAGAACATTGTAGAAGATTAAAAATTTAGATGTGCACTAATTTTTTTTTTCTAATTTAGTGGCCCACTTTTTGACAGCTCATTTCCTGATACATTAGGAGTCAACTTAGTATTAGACATATATTAGGAAATTGAAGCAAACAATCACATACAAAAAATACAATAAACATCTGTAAGGCAACAGTTACCTGGAAGGTGTTCGTGTCTCAGCCCTACATCGTTGGAACATCTTCATCCTAAAGTTCAGGAGAAATAAGTATTACCATAGAATTATTAGAAAAATACAATAGAGAAACAGGGCATGTGGGGCATTTTTGCCTGCTTAGTCCCAAATTCTCATCTTTATTTACTCTTGAATAATGATACAAACGAAACTATTATCTTCAAAGTTATCACAAAAATGCACATTTGGGACCTAAGACTATAGAGGGAGCCCCAGAATGAAAGCATGGAGGAGTCTAGGGGTCTTCTCAATGTACCTTCACACCAGCACGTCACAGGAATTGCCTTGTCAAAGAGACTCAGTTAAGAAACTCATTTGACCTTGTCACAGACTTAGAAGAGATAAGCTTCACTGAAACAAAGACCCCTTTGTGTTCTAGTTACTACTGGTGCAAAATGAGCCTCCCCAAAACTTATTTAATAATGCCTGTGCCTTCTGTGATCAGGGATTCAGACAGAGCTCTCAGTAAGGAAGGTTTTTCTCTGCTACGTGATGTCCGGGGGACTCATTTGGGAAGTTGGTGGCAGGAGGTGACTAGATGTCTAGGGGGTGAAATCCTTGGCCGGCATCTGGAAGCAGTTACTGGCCTCTGGCTGGAGCACATAAGTGTAGCTTGTTACGAGGACCTATCTCATCTGGCATCTCAGGAATCAAAAGGCAAGGGTCCCAAAGATACCAATAAGGTGGTGTATGTCCTTTGTTTCGTTACCTGCCAAGGTCAAATAGCATTTCTCTGTACAACGTCTCCTAAGCAGTCATAGCCTGGCTTGGATTCAAGAAGGGGGACATAAACCCCCTTGATGAAAGGCGTGTCAAAGAATTTACAGATATATTTTAGAGCCACCACAGTGGCTGGGCATCCCATACCTGAGGAGCCAGGGTATTGTGTCTTACGTCTTCCGAAGGGAGTCTTAGTGGAGGTGTGGAGTCCTCGGTGGATAAAAGGGAAGAGGTTGCTGCATCTGTTCCACGAGATTATAAGTTTAGGACGTGGTCTAGCGAGAGGACATTTCCAACTGTTCCTGATGCTCTATCCATCCCATCCCTCTACTCAAGACAGCAAAATTAGAAATTACCATTGTGTCTTCGTGTGTGTGTGTGTATATATATATATGCATATACACACAGAGAGATATAAAACAAATAGATAAGCAGCATTAGCAAATATCTAAAGAAAGAGCAAGTATAAATAGCACTTGAGGATAACAGACTAGAGCATTTCAGAGAAGGAAGTGTAGTTACTTTACTTAAAATTGAATTAGACATGGGTATTGATACATATGTATGTTTATATATATTCTCATATATATCTGAATACATATATATGGACACACACCTATAGATACATAAACCTGCATGGTTACAAATGTGTATGCATATGTGTGTGCATATACACACAAAGCAATGACTAGGACTTGGCAAAATAAAAAAAAAAAAATTATCCATACTTCATTCTATTCTGAATCAGAAATTATTTTATTATCGGTAAGCACTTTTGAATAAATACTACTTTCGGTATCTATTAACTTGTGCTTGCTTGCTTATTCATTTTAGTAAAATTCCTAGCATTATGTCTCTAAATGTATAATATGTGACTAAACAGTGGCTATGTTTTTCAAAGTAAAGTCACTTCTCTACAGTATATTCTAAGTAGTTGCTCAACCAGGATTATGTTTTGCAGAGTAGAATTAAAACCGTTGACCATTTTATTGCTAACACCCACTGATTTTGTGGTTGGAACATTTGGTTATATTGTAGTTACATTAAATAATATAGCACATTAAATAATATAGCAATTACCAATTTTGCAAGATCCTATTCTATTCATTTGCATATATCTTACCATGCTGTATATTAGATACGAAATAATTAGATACCAAAGGAAAGGAGTAAAAGTGTGGGTACACAATCTGCTACTGCTTCTGACATATGCACCTAGCGAAGCAGATGGAATTGTGTTCCTGGGATGTTTAAGGACTTTTAGAGTGCTTCGTATCAGCAGCATCTGGAGACCAATTACTGAACACTCTCCACAGGGGTCTTGCCTCAGAGTTTGTAAAGAGTTGACTAATATATAAACCCTCCGACTTCCCACTGAGACAGACTGAAGCAGCCTCAGAGAGAAATAGCCTATTGGAGTTGAACTACAAATGAAATAATTTGAAACTGGAACTAAAGTCTTTAGCGTTTACATATGTAGTTGGCTGTAAGGTTGCAATGGAGGGACATAATAAAGGGGTCGTAAGTCCCTGCCTTTTCTTGTGTCTGGAATTAAGAGAATGGAAAGGAAAACTAAATGCCCAGTTCAGACCTGAAAAAATGGTTTAGGTAAGAATTTGTAATAGTAAATTAATGGAAGAAATTTGCTGCATTTGAAAGCCCGAAGGTATCTTAAGAGTACTGTACAGTGTGTCTGTTTTTGACCCTTCACATTACATAGTAGGTTCTGGAGGCTTGACGGGCCTGCTGAGTCGCCCGTGAACAGCTACCGACAATTCTCTGCGGTGTAACAGTCTTACGGTTATTTTACTGATAAGAAAACTGAAGTTCACAGAAGCAGACCTGAGACTCTGGACCAGGCCTGCGAAGTTCAGCATCTTTGGTGAGACTCATAAAATCTATTTTCTGAAAGGATCAGATTGAAGAGTGCCTCTTAAAGAGTTCTAGTAGCTCATTCGTTCCTTTTATTCATTCATAGTATTTATGAAGCACACATGTCTCTCGGATGCCAGACACTGAGATAGGGCTAGGAATACACCAGTGAACAAGACAGGGGTCGTCCTGGGCCCCCTGTAGCCTGAAAACTCCTAAAAACGAAGCTACTGGAATTGCATTTTACACATGAGAAAACAGAAGGGAAAAAAATGTTAACATACGTGTGGGCAAAGCCCAACTCAGATCTCTCAATTCCTAGAGTAGTTTAGTGCTCTTGCAATAATAATCTAAGTAATATTATTTCAGGAGAATTATCATTCATTATCATTCAGTTATGATTAATTAACCCAATAAAAAGCCTGGTTGCCTTCCATTGAGGCTACACCAATCAAAAGTATGAATTATCCATGGACTCCCCTTGCATTCTGTCCTTGCTTATTTTTCAGTGAGTCAAAACAAGAAAGGGGGGAGGCGAATGCTGACGTAGTAAAGTGACAGTAATTACATTACTGGCGACCAGTTGCAGTTTCTAAGAACAAACATGCAGAGTAAGGTCTAAAGCCCAGAACGAATATGGACTCTCTAGAATTGCCTATCTGGGCTCTATGCACCATCCTCAAGAATTAGATACATCTCCTTTTATAAAATACCATTTTAAAGGGAATTAGAAATGTTGAGATCAATGTTGAGACAGAGGAAAAGACTGTTGGTACTCAATGAGGCAGCTTTCCAATGTTAACTTCTCGATAATGAAAAATTTAAACGTTCAAAAGTAGGAAGCTTGCCTGTACATCCATCACTCAGCTTCAACAATTATTAGCTCATAGTCTCATCTGTATTCTTTTCCACTTCTCACCCCATATTTATTTTTAAACGTATCCCAGACAGCATATAATTTTCTCTGTAAATATTTCAACGTGTATCACTAAAGAAAAACACATTTAAAAACGTATCACATTCAAAATATTTTGGCAATAATTCCCAGGGAGAGTGTTAGGAAGATGAGCGAAATGGGCATCTTACAAAAAGAACTAAAATAAAACACTTTAACCACAGCGAGCACTTCCAATACAAAAAGTAAATTCATACAGCTCACTTTTACGGGTGAGTTCTTCAAAATTGGGAATTGCGCTGGTAACCTTCTCGAAAGACCAAAAATCTCAACATGAAAACACACACACACATACAGAACACTTTGTCGTGAAATGTCTTCTTCCTGCTTGGCATAATTTGTACAGCACTGAGATGACTGTTTTCCTGCTACTGCCTGTTACCTGAATTTACACTCCTTGATGTAGATATGGCAAATGTGCCTGATGGGTTAGTATTCCCTGGTATTCATAATCTGAGTAACAAAAGTGTCTGAGACTAGAAGCGGGAAGTCTGGAGGCAGCCCAGAAGGAGAGCATTTCTGGCTGCTCTTATGAATGTGATGTTTATCATGATGCTTGATCCCTAGACATAGATGTGCCGGCAGAGATTATACAAAGAAGATTTCTGCAAACTCAGAGATAACTCAAGCTGGAACTTGGAAGATAGAAGAATAAAGGTTGAATTTTTTTTATATATCCTCTACTTAACTTTTTTAAAAATCCCTTTCCTATTTCAACTGTCTTGAAATGATTAGGTTCTGTGTCAACACCTGCACCCGTATCAAAAGGGGTCACAGAGGCAACATGATGATGTTTCTAATTTTTTCCTTTTGAGGGATGCCAATGCATCCCTCAAAAGGAATATGGAAAATGAAAGGTGAAGATCTATTTACTAGAGTAAGAGTTCCCACATTACAGCATTCTTACTCAAATTTGAGGACGCAGAATTTATTTTATTATGGAAGGCTGGAATTTCATTCATTTCTTTATTCCACAAATACCCACTGAGTGCTTATAACATGCAAGGCTCTAGGGGTATAATAATGGGAAAACACAGTCTATTCACTCATGAAGTTAACATTCTAGCTGTTTCCTTACACAGTGTATTCAATCATGGTGGTTACATTTGTGACAATTTTTTTCCCCCTTAACCAGCAAAACACTTTTACAGAACAAATTTTTTTAAGACGGGCTCACCCAGAATAATAAGATGAATTTTATCTGGAACCCTAATAAATGAAGTACATTAATGTGATATTGACTTGTGAAAATATAGCTAAGTACGTATTTCTATTATTGACTTATAAAAGCGTCAGTAATACCAAGGAGATTTTTTTGAAGGACAAAGAAATGAAAGCAGAGATTATGGACAACTCAGGCTTCTGTCAACCTCGTAAATAGTCTTTCTATTTTATTTTGGTTGCAGTCACTTGGAGAGAGATCTGAATCCTGATACACACAATAGTCTTAAATGTCACTTTTGTGTAAAGAGAAATTCTGACAATTTGAAGAAAATTTTCAATTAATTTCTCAATATACTTGAAGCAGTATTGGGAAGAAATTTGCATTTCAAATTCAAACATTTCTAATTTATGCTTATAGTACAGTGGAATAGTTCAGTATTCAGCCTTTGGCGTGAAAAACTTTGTTTTCATTTCTGATCTGCATCCGCTGTTCAGCCTTGGAAAAATTATTCAGTTGGTCTGGGATTGGTTTCCCTAATTCTAAAATGGAGGTGATAATACCAGAGTTGTTTAAATGATCAAATTAAGTAATATATAAAATACTTACATTCTACTGCAGTCAGAGGAAGTGGTCCATACAGGATACTTGGGCTCTAATCCTATTCAGTACAATCAAAGTCATGGTAGAGGGGAAGCAGCTCTATCCCAGAGACTGGAATCCAATTCAGTTCAATTCACCAAATCTTATTGTTTGATAATTGTGTGTGATGCACGTGCAAAGTGGTGGTGACAAAGATGTGTCAAAGATGCAAGGTTCCATGCCTAAAGCATGAATTCAGTCAAGAAAGGCGGGAGGTGAGAGACATTCCAGGCAAGGGAACAGCTTGTGTGAAGAGATTGCTTGAGTCTAGAGTTCCCAGAAGGACAAAGTGTAGTTTTCAGTGTGACTGTGAGAGAGAATGAGGGTTGTTGAATGGTATGAAGGAAAGCAGGATGCTGTACAGAGAAGCAGGGTCAGATCATTCAAGCTCTAAAAGCCATGTGAAGGATTTCAAATTTTTACCTTATGGAACATTGGAAGCCATTGAAGTTTCATAGACAGTTGAATGAATCGGCAGTCGTGGCATGACAATTTTCTTTGAATGGGCAAAAAATGAAAGCAGGATGTCCACTAGAAGGCTACTCAGTAACTAAAGAAAGAAATGAAAACACCTTGGACTAGACGGTAGTATGGAGGAGAAAATGGACAGACTTTTATAACATTTTGGAGGTAGAATTGACAGGGACTTGGTAACTGACTGGTTGGTATAAATAATAGAAAGAGAGCAATCAGAGATTTTGGGGTTTTC